CACCACCACCACCACCACCACCACCACCACCACCACCACCACCACCACCACTACCCGGTCAATCGATGTGACCATTCAGATGCCTGTATTTCTACTAGTTCACTCAACTGTACCGTTAAACACAACACAATTTGGTTGAACTGTCTAGTAAACGGTTATGCCTTCTCCACTCCGGTCTTCTTTATTTTCGCGGGAATACAGGGTAACGTATTCGGCTTAGATTGTCGCAGTGGCCCCGGCGTGGTTCAAGACAACATGCCGGGGCCCTCAACACATCCATCATTTTTCGAAACGACTAACATCAACATTCAGATGTATTTCGAAGGCAAAGTGCCTACTTAAATCCAATACTCTCAAAATTAGCACCGGAAATTTAAGGAAATAGTGTCGAGAACTTTCTGCGAACGTACGTGAACGAAGCCTATTCATGAGTTGATCGGGTGTCATCAATTGTCGACTACAACTGACGGTCTGTATTCACTTACACACTTTGACACATGCAGACTTTGGTAGCCTGATGTGGCCTGTTTGCCTCGAATCTCGGGTCGTTAGCTAGTAGAGTTGTAAGGCAGTGCAAGCAAGCCATTGCCATCGGACAACGTTCTCATCAGTCACGGGAAGTAGAAGCGGTGGTGCAGATCCAACCTCATGGCTACGCATTTCGGCAGAGAGAATAAAACTGCTGTCCTTCACATGCACGAAACATCACATGTTGATCCAGTTGAATATAAACGGCAACTAGGCAACCGCCGAAAGGCATTTCGTTTGAGGATGGGCTTGCCTGAGAACGAGTGGCTTAAGATTCTTAATTACTTACAGGGTAAAAAGGATGAGCAGTTCAGGCGGAAAGACTTCAACAACACCTACGATAACAGAACTAACTGGCTGTGCAATCGACCTTCACGTTTCTAGTCTGCAGCCTCCGGATCCCCAGCTCTCACTACTTTTAATGTAGTTTTGTCAAAAATTGAATAAAATTTTCAGTGTGCTTGTCTTTCTCCAGAGGTAAAGCTTTGATAAAGCGCAGAAAAGGCTTTTAGTTGTAACTGCGCACAAAGAGGTGCCACTGGTCATTGAAGGGGTGCACTTTGAAGTAAGCTACTTGACCTCACCATTCGCGCATCTACCACCAGCAATCCTACACTTTAAAGTCATCGTTCTCTGCTCGGAGCACGCAGTTGGACTGGATGTTTCTAGTCGACGCCTCGTCTTACTACGTGCCACCACCTTCGCTGGAGGCAGCCACGATTGTCGAAGTGAAGGACGCGTGTGTCGGCGCAGCCGAGGAAGCCGCCACTATTGAACAGTTCAAACGAGCACTGCTCGGACGCTACTTGCGTCAACCCCAAGTGACCACACAGACTGCCGAGTTTGTTGACAGACTGCTGGAACAGGAGTCCGTCCGTGTCGACGTCCATTCACGGTGCAGTGCTTGCACAGCCTCGCACGACCCACCGCCAGCGCCCGTTCGAATGCCTTTTGGCGCGCGAGTTGAAAATGGCCTCATTAAGGAGGATGTATTCGTGAGGTCCAATCGCGGCACACGGGAGGCCTCGGCCAACTTAGCGGGAATTTTTAACGCTCCCCTCAACTGTGGTGGCGGGTATCCCTTTAATTCTGCGCATCGTTCCTATCCACATATGGTCTAATACCGACATTTGTACAATTATTTTTTAATGTAAATTTATTGGTCTATACATGAGGCTGTGATTGCCAGTCACAATTGGTATTTGCCTGTAGTAATGTGTTATTTCACAATAAACCTTGATGCAACATTTTGCGTTTTCTTTGTTCAATAAATTTGATAAAATGCAAAAAAGAACAATAGCATAATCAAACTAACGTGAAAGGAATCCGGGTTCATTTTAGCTCCATTTACAGCCAGATGCACAGCATCTTGTGAATCGTGTTCATTCGCTCTCACTAATCCGATCACTCCATTCTCCCTCACAGGGTTCCCATTTCCGCAGCATGTCACCAGCCGCTCGGATCCTTAACTCCCCACTCATTCGCACAAACACTTATCCTGGATTCTCCTCACACATAGGTCTCGCTGTAAGCTGATCTATGACTCTCACATCTAAGGTATAAATACACACGCGCAAACCCCACACACGACACAACGACACCAATTTTGGCTGAGCTCTGAAGTAAACGGTTGTGTCCACGTCCTCTCTCCGGTCTTTTCCTTCATGGCAGGTATCAAGGAAGCGTGATCGGGCCAGAGTTAATTCAGTGGCCCCGGCGTGGTTCAAGATGAGAGGTTGGGTCCACAACAAGCGAACCAGGAGGGAAACCAAAATAACTAAGAGAAACTCATGAAAAATTACACCAATCTCCTTTGATTTTCCACTCGTACGTTGTGATCTGGCAACAAATAATAGATAAGTAGGTTTTTTTCCAAAACTTCTCACTTGACTGTCACACGATTCCTAATGCTTAGCGCCAACTCTCATCGTTGCTATGCCAAATAGGTACTTAATAGTACCAACAGTATTCTCTGGAACCTGGGTGGTTTTTAAACAACGAGTATGTTAATTTACGCAAGAATCTGTAATCCTGCTCATGTTTCACAAAATGAGAAAATTCACTTCTCACTAATTTTGTCTTTGTATTGCAAACTTACGAGACTAGATGGATTCATGAATTGCTGAACCGCCGCCACGGCCTCGTAGTTTGTTGGAGACTGCAAGCCTTATCAGTCAAACTAGGGTGACAGCTGCTTGTCAAGGTAAAAGCCAGAATCCGTTTAAGTAAACTCAATATTCGTTCAATTTGTTCCATGTAGATCGAGTCTGGCCATGGAAATTCGGTCTTATATCGCTACAACGTCAAGATTTGCCTAAAAGCTAACCCCAAACACCTATTGGCCAGATTTAAAAGTGGAATTTTAATGCATGACTTCCAGTTTTTCGACTTTCTAGCAGCACCTGTCCAAAATTTACCTTCACCTTTATTAGTCGATTGTTGTTTAGTTCGGGGTGTACACAATTTCCTATTGGTTGGACCTGGCATCGTAATTTAATGTAGTTTAGTGCACACTTTTAACCCTGACGAAACGCAGGCCTGAACAGGTGAAAAATATTTCTTAAGTACTTTAATCACTAGAGTCAACAATTATGATTTTCCCCAACGATTGACCTTATTCTGGATTAACCCAGACAACTGACGCCAAATTGCAAATCAATTTGCTGATTTGCACAATTAAAACGTGTTTCTAACTCATGTCCGATGCTTATTTATGTACTCACGTATTAAAACATTTTCCCATAGTACATCAAAAGAAATGCTTAACATGTGCTACATTCAAGCAGTCAGTAAAGTTAGAACAGAGCATTAACAGAATTAGGTCCACAAGGAAAGCCCTGAGGCGGTGGCATGCGTCCACCAGGCAGAGTGGGGCTCGAACTCGGGGCACTGCTTCCCCACAGCACTTCACCAGGATGCAGCAGGGGATCGTTTCTTCCACCGACGCCTCCAAGGCTTTCCTTTCGTCGAATCTTCTTGAGCGTCACATTGAGCAGGTCAATCGCGGCCACCACATCTGACGGCTTGGAAGTCTGCACGCCGGTTCCAATCGTCGACGACGACGACGAAGTGGCAGGTCGGCAGGTGGAACAAGGCGTCTCACCGGCTTGTCTGCATCTGCAGTGTTCGCACTGGCAACCACAACCACCACCACTGATTCCTCCAACACCTCCTAGTCCCAGGAGTGTCTCCATGTGACTGTCACGAGCAAATAAGAACGCAGAGACCACGGGACGGCTTTTAAGCAATGCCGTTTCTGCGTAGTTAACCACCGCTGCCAAAGTGCAGGCTGCACATTAACGACTCCTACAAAAATAGAAGTATGGCATTTCCATATGCTTTTTAAAGGCTTAGAAATTTACTGGCAACTGTTTCGCTTATTATCAGAATTCATAAAATTATAAACATCTTTTGTCGAATTTTGAAATAATTTGGGGTGCACTTTTCTTTTGAAATGGCCCCCTGACCTTACAACCTCGTAGTTAAGATCATTTCGCATCAAAGAAAAAAGAGTTGAGCGCTCGATTTAGGCACAATTGCGTCGCCAGGGATGAAGGTGACTTGGCTATTCAAGGTGCTAATCTGCTTGTGCCTCCTCCTTGTTCAAATTGAGGCAGGCTGCTTTAGCTGGCGCAGGCGCAAAACCAAATCCAACATTCTGAGAGCTGCCCTAGCCGCTGTGTTTGACGCCCATCGACAGGAGCCCGCAGGGAACAGCGAGGACCTCCAGCAAGGCCCTCCAGTTTCATCGCCGACCGAGGTGGTAGAGCGAAGTGTCGAGACAGACGACTGCACCGGAGGCGATGGCGATTGTGAGGAAGGGACTCCGCGACATGCTGCTCTGCGTCTCCTCTCACGTGTTCTAAGTGACCTTCTGGAACGTCCGCAGCCATCCAGACAGGACATCTTTGATTTCAGGGTGACTATTGAATGGACTACCGCGCCTGTTCTTGACTATGACATGAAAAGCAGACGCCAAAATCAACAACTTGGGGCTCTGCTTCTCATTGCACTTTCCCCATATTTGGCAACTTACAATGGGGAGTAAAAATTATTAGTAAAATTAATAGATTTGAAGGCTCGCCATTTTTGTCGTTTGACTAGTTTTGCAATAAAAAAGGCTTATTTTTCTGGTTTTAACCAAAACTTGAGTTCCATATTGACTTTATAGATTTTATCACTTCGTTTCCGGTTCAGTATGAACTTGATTAGCATTACTTTATGTAAACTATTCTATAATTTCTGATGAAGGTGAAAGGGATTTAATTCATAAAAAAGATGCATTTGCTGTCTTCGAGTTTCAAAAACGAAGCGTAAATTTTTCACATGCAATTATTTACCTCATTTCAGCCACAATATCTAGTGGGTAGTATGTCTAATGAACCATGATCAGTGTGCAAATGTCAAGCATGTGGCTAAGTTGGTGAAATGCCTGGAAATATATGGTTGCTATGGCTCCACACCAAGCCCTTTTGGCAGGAAAGTTACAAAGCAGTAATATCACGCAACAAGCAGGCTTACTTGCTAAAAAGATAATATGATTTTTAGGTGATGACAGCAAATCACAATTTCACATTGATTCCCATTAATGCCACTTATTTTAACAACACTTCTCTTCCACCGCACAACTCTGTACCCAAGTGTATTTGCGAGTGCGCATGATTTTGAATGAAACTTAAGTCGTGTCAGAAAAACATTGATATTTTTTCCTTGTCTAATTCTCGTATTTACTCAAATCGCTTGCCTAAAGAAATGTCGAAAAGCACACCACGGAAAATTGAACATTAATGAGCAATCAATGTGCTTTTTGCAGATGATTTCAACAGCCTTTTTTAGCAGGATTGATGTAAAAAGTGAAAATCGACTTGACCGACATTACAGTAGCTGGAGAGGCATTTTAATACTCAAACATTACCTCATTTCATTTTTCTCTTGTCAAATCTTTAACCAGTCTCCGCACCAGCATTCAGAAACCCAACTGCATGCCCAGGGAATCTGTGTTAATAATTCCTAAATACAAGTGAAGACAAGATCGGATAATTGAATATTTTATAGTGATGAAATTTGGATAAAAAGTAAAGGAGTTTATTGGACAAGCTGCTGTCGATGTTCTGAGAAATTAGTAACCTGATTTCTCGGCTATTTATTTAGGAAAGTGCAAAACAGTTGCAAAAAAATTGAGTTTGCGGTGTAAGCACTCAGACGTCTAAATATGGCAAAGGGTAGAAAGTAATTTACATTAAACAATTAGCCTCAGGTAATGTTGTTCTAATCAGTCTAAAATAATTGGCTATAACAAGCAATGCTTTCAACTACTTCCGATAGTGACAATGTCCAGAAAAATAAGTGGCGACATTGTGCATCCGGTGTTATCATTGAAATCACAGGAAATGGTACCAATTTTTTTAGTTGCTGTATATGTTCAGATGTTTCTAATATATTGCCTGTGACTTTATATTCCCAAGGGTTAAAAAGCATATGTGTCCTCAGGTGATGATAAATGTGTCAGATTTATACCATTCCCCTACACGAAAAAAAACAACAAAATTCATTTACGGGATATTTTAAAGCTGCTAATTATATACAATGTATCGTGGGTAGATTTGTCAGCTGTAAAACCGATCAGATTTCAAAGTCAATATAATAGTAACTTCAACATTTGCAACACAGGATAAATGCACATGAGTGAAGAAACGTAGGCTTCTACAGAACTGCCCCTTAATTGTTATTTCAGGTCCAGGGCCAAAGAGAGAAATTGAGGAATCTCAACCAGATTTGGGGAATAAACAACCTCGTGTATTCCAAATATTAATTCTTTTTTTGTGCAAGTTTACTTTATGCACACTTACAAGTTTTTTGTCACATTTATTATGAACCCAAACTTCAATAGTACTCTTCGACATTAGCATTTGATATCAATTCACTAACGACTAATTAACTATCCAATTTACTTAAACTGCAACAAAGTGCAGATATTATGTAGTTCCTTTCCTTGCACAAAATGTTAGGATTGCCACCCAAATTATTTGGTCGAGTATTATCAAAATTTCAGACCCATCAACGCAATTCCAAACTGTAAGTTCAAAAAAAACTTAAAATTAAATTCATTATCAAATATTTTTATTAAACCTTCCTTGACGGACGTAGATGGGCAACCCTATTTTTCCCTTAGCACAGGTAGACACATTTTCTCAATGCAAAGGCTTAAGAGAAAATTTTGAACATTTAAACATAGCTTAGCGTAGGCTAAAACTCAATTTTACAAGCTTACTTTCATTTATAAATTAATATATTAAAAACAGACATTGGCACAACTGTAAAGAGTCTGAAACGAATAAATGTGGGTGTATTATCCATGTTAACCTTATTTACGACATCGCTTTAATTATCATTGCAATATGTGCATATTAGTTCTGTAATGCCCAGAACTGCCTGCATGCATTCAATTTCATAAATTGATGACTTATAATGAATTTTTATGTGCAGTTTTTCTGTTATGAATGTGGAAATCTAAACATGTTTTTGGCTTGTAAATGGGCACAATTTGCATATTTTCTATAGATTTAGAAAATTGACAAAGTCAGATGGAATAAAATTCACACATTCTAAGTATTCTCGCCAAAAAACTAGCATTTTCAATCGCATGGCACTAATTTTAAATTAATCTCAAACAATTTGTTGGTGCGAATTTTAAAAAGAAGTATTGTTCAAATTGTTTTAGTTCCAGAAGCAATCAACATAGTTATTTTGCTAAAAATCAACTATTTTTCTAATGTTTGAAGTTATACATAACTCACACAACCTAAAGACGAACCTTTGAACTACGAGATGTGTTTTAAATAACAAATCGTATGCACTCCCGTAAACGGCGCTTTTTTAATACTTTTACGCATTGGACGTCTGATCATTTTGTACAATTATTCTCTGCGCTAAAATTTTTTTGTAGGTCACAACCCTTATTTTGTCTTAGTTTTATTTTTCTTTTTTTAATCAATTACCTATCCTTTTAATGTTTCCTTGCATTTAAAAACGTGGTCAATCATAATATTAGTTTTCAGCCACTTATTAGAAATTCATTGCAAAAATCTGCGTTTTATTGATAATTTATTTGACTTTGGTTGCATTTGTTGCATGTTCTTGAATTTTTGAAATAAAATCTTTGAGTGTCAGTCATTAAATATGAAATATTTCGGTTTGTTGACACATTTCATAATGTTGCCTTCAAATAAAGGTTTAGGATTTGTGTATCAATATACAAATAATCAACTGCTGTGTTACAAACACTAAAATAAAGCACCTAATAAGTTATTAATTAGGCTCTATCAACCTTTCAATTTTTCTATGACTATTTTCAGCCTTAAATGTTTTATAATAACAAGAAATTCACGATGCTTTTGTGTGAGGCGTCAAATTTATCATAATTCCTTTTACAAGGTTTTAAGACTGAAAATAACTCAAATGTTCTGTTTAATTACGTTGTGGTATTTTTGGTGTACACAAGCGTTAAGATTATCTTACTTGCTAAAAACTTTGAAAATAATTGACTAAAAACGTCATTTTATAAATGATGTGAAACTTTATTAACCATAAGCATTTGTCGTTTAGTTTCACTCCTTTTCAATAGAAAGCTTACAAATTGAAATATTAGGTTAAATCTAAAAGGGAATTGTTCATTTGTTTACATCCACATAGTTAAATGGAATAAATGGACATCCGTGCTGCACAAGGTTCTACAGCAGCAGTACGAGAAGCCATTGCTGGTCGGCTTCCAATGGACCAGTTTAGTAAACTAGCTGTAACAGGACTTGAAAACGGCCAGACGCGTGGGGCGTCACCCAAATACGAGAAGCAGCAGCCAAAGCGAAAATCCACTCCTGATCTCGTTTATCAGAACTACCACAACAACCACAATAACGTACAACCAATTCCTCCATCCTTTGCTGTTGCCTCAAAAACCACTGACGATGAGACTAAAAAGGATTTGCTAAAGCCTGGTGACGTTCTCAAAAGCCGATGGCGCGTGCTAAGCAAGATTGGTGGTGGTGGCTTTGGTGAAATATACGAAGCTGTTGACACACAGGTCAGTCTAATTACGTTTTTGTGCATTTGAGCTTGTAGTAATAGTAAGCTGAAATTTAAAAAACGATTGATCTAAGGTAAGATTTTGGGGATACAAAGAATAGATGGCTTGCAAAAATGAAGCACTGCCAAGCATATTTTAAAAAAAAGTTCACTTATCTTGAATGGCAACAATATGGACGCCTAACTCATAGGTTAGGCAGTGAGGTTCATCATATTTGGCTATAGTTGCATAAACGTTTTTTAATGTAAAATAAAAAAGAGTTTGCGTTCCCCGCTGTGACATTGTTTTCGTCACCCAAATTACTCTCTGCGTTTATTATAGTCTCCCCGTAAAATAAACTTTTAGGCGGATTCCGGAGCATTGGAATCGTCGAGCTTATGCCCACTCTGCGCTAGCAAACTCGATGGGCACGCTCACAACCCAGCGTCGAACCATGCATCTGCACTCGTACAGACGTGCACGGCTTGTGGTCGAAAATTCGTTCCGACCGCCACCGCGAACCATGATCTTCAGCGTCATCTGAGCGAAAGCACGATCGAGCTGGTTGACTCGGGAAACTCCTCCACACATTCAGACAAAGTAACGGGACCCGATAATCGCATTGTAGCCGTCAAGGCTGAATCCAACACCCAGCCAAAACAAATGCTGCGCATGGAAGTTGCCGTGATGCGTAGATTGAAGAATAAAAAAAACTTCTGCGATTTACTGGCCTGCGGCAGAAATGCGCGGATTAACTACATCATTATGACTCTGCAGGTAGGCAAGTGAAAAAAAATACAATAAACATGCAAATCATACTTTCGAATGCCATAATTAGATTAAAACACTCCAGTCAGATCACCTAATTAGCAACAGTAGAACCAGATTTTTTACATGAAACAAATAACTACCAAATGGTTATGCGTTTGCATGGTTTTTGTCATGAATCTAATACGGTTGTTTGGCGCAGTCTGCGTGTCCTGGTAAAAAATACAGTTGATTTGTAAAACCGATTGGCTATCTGATGGTAGCGGGAATCTATTTGGTGTACGATAAGTTATCAAGATGCAGTACAGGTTGCGGAGAAAACGCCTTCTAGTGTGATCTGATCTTAGAAACCATCAAGAGCCTTTACCTAAAATTGGTCCACTCGACTGCATTGTGATTGGCCATCTTATTCCAGTATTCCTCCGGGTCCCAATTCAATCACGACTTACCGATTTTATTGTGTGGATGTGGACGCCGATGTACACTTGACGGCGCAAGTCAGTTGCACTCGTGCAGACGATGTGTACACTAATAAGTCACACAAGTAAACGGGGCATTCATATGTGCACACATTTGAATGTTCACATGTGTCCACACAAACAATGAAGAATTATTATAACACTTTACACAATTTACCACAGTAAATCACCCGCAAAACATGAAAATTTTATTCCATTTCCAGACTTTCTAGATTCATGTATCGACGAGAACGAGGGATCGGAATTATTACTTGTGTGTTGTCGATAATTGCGCTTGTTCCTCAATGGTTTCCGAAAACTTGTGCGATGAACCCTATGTTGTCACATATCTAGAATCTTGACAAAAATTTTGTGGAGTTGTTTTTTCACGGTTAGGTGGTTCCACTAGTGGAAAATACGTAATTTTGTTTCTTCTACCGTCAAGGTTAACAGATATTCACAATGCAATACAACTGGTACCAGGAAACTAACACTGTTCTGTGATTATTTAATTAAAACTTCCATTTACCTGGTTTAACAGGTAATAGCTACAATACAGTGTCTGGGACTTGTTCCAAACAAGCATCCTACGTCAATTATTGCTTACGCACTTTTTTAGATAAATAGTCTCTGCCGGTGTAAATGACATTGGCATCTTTTTATCTACGAGGAAAAAGTCACCTGAAACCTCGGTAAACTTTGATGTTGCCGCCGGTGTGTCTTGTTAATAAGTGGCAAGCCCGGCTTCCGGTCTGTGCTTCACCAAACCTGAGTGAGCCCTAGGCGCAAGCACACAGCAAGTCTTGCGTCTGGCAACAGGCTGCAGGCACACGCGTGTTAAAAGCAAAAAAAAGTCTCACAACATCGGCGCTGTGATCGATACTTCCACTTTACACTGTGGGCTGCTCAAATGTCGTCTTTGTTATGAATTTAGGCAGTTTTTTGGGTACCATGGGGAGTTGAAAGTTACCGCGAAATTTATAGCCTGATATCAGCTAAACACTCGATTATAAAAAAGTAAATTTACACAAGAAATTTCTATGTCTCACTGAGTTAAAACACCATCAACTATACATTACGTGGGATTCCCACGGCGCCTTTGTTTAAGTGTATTGCAAGATTCTTTTTCTTTGTAGGGTAAAAATCTCAGCGAACTGCGCAAGAACAGCGCCGAGCGCTGTTTCAGTCGTTCTACGTCCCTGCGCATAATATGCAAGTGCCTTGATGCCGTAGAGGCATTCCACAGCATTGGCTTCCTCCATCGTGACATTAAGCCCTCCAATTTTTGCCTACGCAAAGACGATCCGACGGAGGTATGTTTGCTGGATTTTGGCCTAGCTCGCCAATTCACCACAACAGGCTCGCTCAGTCAACTACGACCACCAAGGAATTCTGCCGGCTTCCGCGGGACTGTCCGCTATGCTTCCATCAATGCCCACAAATACCGCGAGTTGGGGCGACACGACGATCTGTGGTCGATGTACTACATGCTCGTGGAGTTTCTAAAAGGCACTCTGCCATGGAATAAAATCAGCCAGAAGGAGATTGTTAAGAATAAAAAGATGGAAACCGATCCCATTGAACTCGGGGTGACTAGTGGTCTTCCGAAGAGCATCGCTTCGGTGTGGGTCAATCACTTGAAAGGCCTAAGTTATTACACGGCTCCAAATTACCGCGAGTTGAGAAGAGTCATCGAGAATTGGCTTTCAGCGAATGGTGTGGAGTGGAATGAGCCATATGACTGGGACAGAAGACCAATGACTCATGTTCAAAGCGCGACCACATTTGCACCGCTCTTCAAACGAAATCAAGTGCCTACTCGACAGTTTGTTCAGAATTCCAAGCGACTCGCTCACCACGACTCGTCGGGCTGCTTGAAGCGTCTCGACAAACGCAGCTTCGGCTCCAACATGGAGCTTAAACGGCTTGAATCCGAAGGCGCTGAAGGCAGCACGGCCGCCTTTGTTGGACGAAGTACAGCTGCGCTCTGCGAGGATGCGCTGACAAACCAAAGCAAAACCCAAGTGCCTGGATGTGTCACCTTGGCAACGGAGAATCTCCTACAAGAAGACGGCGCCGGCAACGCCAATGAAAGCTCTGACAAGGTGGACGGGAAGGAGAAGCTAATGGCCAGTCACATTGACCTCGCTGCCATAGGTGAGCCCAGGAGGCCAGCGCAAGGTGCTGAACCGACAGACAAGCAGTTCCTTCCCACAGGCACCCCACAAAGTAAGCCATACCGCTTTCCTGCAATTGACAGATGTTTGTTCTGTGTTGAAATTTTTTGCTTTGCAACTTGTTAGCTCACAAATCCCCTTGTCCTAGTGCCGTTGTGGCCGGTTAAGGATTGTCAGAAGTTTTACAGTTTAACTATTCAGTCCAATCAAATTTTGCGGTTTACCTGAACTGCAGCCCAAAATCGTTAGGGCAATCGAATAGGGGATAAGCAAACCCACCCATTGATTTCAAAGTAGCCTCATAAAAAGCCAGGGCTTCCCCATGAATCACGTCTCTTCTTCCTTCGTCTTCGGTTCTTTACTTTCTTGCTTAAGCTAAGCGCCCTTGTCTCTTCCTGAGTCCTTCTCTGTCTAGTGCTGACCTCTCTCTTTAATGTTCCCACACTCTGCCTCAAAGTATGACGAAATCTATTGGGGGTTCTCGCGTACAACTGGGCCGAAATAGCTCTTTCACGGGGGCAAAGGCGGCGTGCGTTTTGTACACTCATTCGAGCACTTGCCGACCACCCTGCTTAAATATGTTTTAGATGAGAAAAAAGAACGCTCCAACGCCAACCAACGCCACAAACTCTTTACCTACTTTGGACTGAGGCGTGCAAAATCCGAGAGTAAGAGTAGACCAATAACCTAGACTCCGGTCCTAATCAGATCGCCACCGCAGGCACTTTTACACGAGCTTAACTGCACCGGCTTTAATTTATCCCCTGACTCGTTAGCCCGGTAGTTTAACTTTACTTACAATCGCCTCAGAGCGCGCGATACGTTAACGTAGCCCGATGACCACGTCAAATTGTTGACAGGCAGGCTCCTTAACCCGTGGCCTGAGTCCGCTTCACGTTGTTGGACTAGCTTTCCGCGGTCTCACCGCTTTGGGAATTCGTCCTAACGTCTTTCGATTAAGTAGGCTGAGGATATAATCGGCGCAAAAGCACCGAGTAATGGTTGACTAAAGTGCACCCTTTGTTATTGTTGTTGTGGGTTGTAGCTCGCAAACCGGACAGGCCTAGGAAGTAGCCGGGGGCGGGATTCTCACTATACCTACGAACCGCTCGAGCACTTTCAAAGTTCCTCACTCCCTACCTTCCTCTTTCAAGCATGTAAACCAGTCTAGCCTTGCCTTACCAGTCTCCTTTCCAACGCCAAATGAACTTTACATCTTATCAAATGACTCGTAATTTCTCCTTCCATTTTTACCGCTGAAGTCTGTAATTTAAAAAAGAACTTTTACTTTTTTAGAATGTGTATTGATAGTTTGCTAAAGCATCCTTTTTGTAATCAGTCATTAAAGATGGGGAGATGTAGGAACACACATAGGCACAATGCAGAGATGACTAGGCATTGATAGACTACTAGAATCTTTTAGCCTAGCCTCCGTGGTCAATTTCCCAGGTTTGTGCTTCGGTTATTAAGAAGAAATGCCGGGTTACGACGGAACCTGGGTGGAAGTATAACCAGAACAGGAGAGCCAAGAAGGCTAGAAGGATTAGTGCTGTCATTGCAATCTTCAGTTTTACCGGTCACACTGAGAAAAACACACAGGAAGCATCGCTTGCTAAAACAATCGTAAATGCGCCAAACCAGTTTACGCAGTAAATGTGCGTTGCTATGACAAATCAGACCAGTTTAGTTCATAAGAGTCTCAAAACAAATCGGTGCCTACTCTGTCACAATGAGAACAATTGAGTACATTCGTGTCTATTTTCTGTTACTTAGAAAGCATAGGTGTACGAGTGTGTGAATGTTCGATATCTGCAAGTTTTTGTCACCAAGCAGAAAACGAAGAAGTTGTCACCAGGATTTTCTGCGTGCAGTTCAATTTCTGCTCTAATGCCTACTTATTAATAGGAGCATTTACTGTTAGCCGCTAAACACACTGGAGAGTTCACGCAAACAGAGTTTTCGCCATCGATCCTGTTCCCACCGTAAATCGTATTTTCGCATACCTTTTGGTGCTGCAGAAATAAGCAATTAAATTAAGCACTCACAAACTGTTGCGTTTCGCTCAAGTTGTCACTGTGCTGTTTCCGGCGCTGCGCTCACACCAGTACGGCGTAGAAACGTCGAAGTGAGCGCGCAGATCCAGGCTGAAGGCTAACTGGTATGACTGTGAAGCGTCACATTAAAGGCGCGCGCTCTCACACACACACACACCGGCTTTGGAGCAAAAGTGGAGAGCTGTATTCACAAAATCGATATTTACAGAGATGCGTGTTAACTCACCGGTTGGGTTACGGTAACATTTGCTCACTAGAGGTCCTGATCTGAGCGGTATCGATTAAACACTTTATCTTATTTGTGACCTAGTAACAGCCTATTACTCCCTGTGTTTTGAGATCCAAGTAGCTGTCTATAATACAGTGCTCTCATCGGCCATCATTTGATTGCCTAAAACCAGAAATTTTGCATCAACTTTTACCAAACCGTTATTTGGCACAAGAACCCATGAAGGGCATTTAAATACACGGTTGACTTCGTACACAACCTGGCTTGTTAAGGGTACGACTGTCACAGCGTTGTCGTCTAATAGTTCCTACCACTAGCATCACCATCAATCGTCTCAAGTTTCAGCGCTCTACGTTGACTTGTGTTGATACAGTTTTCTGTAACTTTTGCGGCACAATCAAGTAAGAACAAATTGGAATGCCAATGCTAGCTAGTTCAGACATTTTACAACGATATAAATAATTTCTAATAGGTTGAGAAACTACTGGTTTTGAAAATACATCAAGTAGTAATCGAATTTCACTGCAGGCATAACGATGAACGTCATCGATTCCGTAAAACGCCACTTCGCATTAACGCGTAGATTGTGTTTGGTGGCATTCGGCTAAAGACCATTAAATTTTGGGTCAATGACAACCGCGTCTGTGCGTTTTGCTGACCATGACCCAACCAATCAGGGTGCAGAAGAGAGAATTTTATTTCTTTTTGCAGGTAAAAGCACTTCTTTCAGCAATTCGCCCAATTTCATGCTGGTTCGATGCGATATGTGACAAAGTGGTTCCTAAGTGATGCAATTCGTGAACAAGTAAAACGGCAACAATTTTAAACAAGTCAGAATTAGAGTATAACATAAGTCGGAAATGCAAAATGGTTCGACAATTCAAAATGGCTACTCATAACTTCTAAATCCATTAGAAATAACGGACGCTATGCAGAAATAACTTGTTGTTGCATTATTCTTATCGTTTGTTGAAACATTCCGTTAATTTTAAAAGCATCACAGCTGTTTTCAACCTTAATAACAGGCTTTAAAAGTACAGTTTTGTGCGCATCCATCCACCCACAAGGTCCATTTTAAAAGTCGAAAATGGTTTTTTTACCTACAGCGTTAGATTCCCTTCCACACGAGTAAATTCAACTTCAACAGTTTTGCGAATTTTCATCAGTACAATTGGTTGTTACTATGGAATCTAAATTTATTTCGATTCAGTAGTCCAATTTGACATCGTTTCCTCACATGGTAATTTCCGCTGTAGAAGTAAACTGAAAAGAGTTGTAACTACCAGATCTCCGTGTTAGCAGGATTCAATTACTTCATAGCAGGGGTATCAAAAATCAACTTTTTTCAAACCTTGACAACGGCACTCCCAGCACACCACTTAAGACAATGCCGTGTTCAGCAGATCGCGTGATGACTTAGCGCTGTTGAAGACGAACGTGTAGTATGCAAATAACGGAGGCGGTTCTTGTGCAAAATCGCTTACAAATTGGTTTTCATTGGTGAAACGGGGGCGTTCTCACTTATTACTCATTTAAAAGGTCAATTTCTATTGTAGCCAATTGTGTTTATTCAACCAATTGAATATCCTTTTAGTGTGCCAACGTACTTAGCTTAACAATTACGCAATGATAAACTGAGCGGTGGGATGGTTTGCAAACATTTACAAGGGAGTCGTGGACGACTGCGAAGCCATGAGCTTCTGTTTCATGCTTGCTGCGTTGTGAATTACTTTGGCACTAATTCTGCTATGATAAAATTGTAATAGACCGGCCTGTCAGATATTGCTTACTTCTTTAATTCCCGAGACCTCGTCATTACTTTTGTCTCCTGAGAGATTGATGGTTTTATATTTTTAATGCGATTTTACCTGAACTCAGATAAAGGATCTTGATATACAAGCCTAGATTTTGACTGTATTTGCCTTAACCTGCAGAAATCATCGATTAGATAGTATTCGTGTCAAGCAATTAGTTACAGGAACGTCTTTGCGATATATACATGGGAAAAAAGCGTAGATTAATGATACCGATTTATTAAAAGTCATTTGTTTTAATTACAGCCCGACCATCTTTGGCAGACGTTTTAAATTTCTCCGGTAAACCGCAATATCATCGCCAGCTTTCTGCTGAAGCGCGTTATTCTCTCGTGAACAGCTTCACATCGCCAACGTCACCACTGCCTCCAACACCGCCTCCGCACAAAACAGCAGGTCGTGAAAACGATCTGGTCTTTCTTCACCCCGAAAACCGCCCCCTCCTGCCTCCGACGTATCCCACCACCCCTCCGATGGTGCCCTCGCTCTTCCACGAGGACCTGCACAACCCCGCTGCACGCTTGCCACCGCCGTACAGGATCAGACGAGGCACTGTTGATAGCCCTGCTGGTCAGGCCGAAGCGGTCTCTACTTTGCCCACACCGAAACCACGGAGTCGGTACTCGGACATCCTCGAGGCTACGCCTGAAGAAGTGGACAAAGTAGCAGAGCCCACAGACGATAGAAATGGCTGGTTTTGCAGAGACGACCTTCAGGATGGGTTTCGCCCCACCTTGCTCTCCAACCCTTACTACCGTTTCAGATCACGAAGTCCCACAAAAGGCGAATCAGCAATAAGCCCACTGCAGCTTTTGGAGGTGCTCAAAACGCGAAGCTCAAGTGCTGAACACCTGGAAGATGGCATCTCGAAGCCTAGTCCACACCTGGAACCCAAGAATCGGCAAATGTATCGAAGTTTGAACACGCTAGCTATGACCACACCAGACCCGATTGTGTATACATCACAAGCCGTTACGAGCAATAATTCAAACGGGGACAACAGTAAAAAAGATCTTGTTCGGAAAGGTAATGAAACCTGGTTGCCGGTGATAGATGGGCGGACAAGGTCAGCGTCAACAGACATAGCCTCTAATAGGCCAGCTTCCTTGGTGGTGCATGGTGCAGCAGTCGGTGTTATTCGTAGGCCGACGCAAACGCTTAGTGGCAAATCGACGATTAATTGGCGACCAGTGAATCCGAGGGATAAAGCTGGCACATCCTTGAGTTCGCATATGTCCAACCCGACCCCTAGCCCCAGCGACACACAGAAATAACGTGATTGGTGGACTTTCTCGGGCAGATGTTGTCTTCGCCAGTTGTAAATAAACGCCCAAACGAATTCTGCTCTCCCAAAAGTCACGATGCTCCTTTTTAAAGCGGCATTTACCCCCAGACACATTGTGGCGATTTTGAGCAATTTCTTGAATTTTTCATCTTTTTAATATGATTATATCCATTTGACAATACGTCGAACATGTTACCAAATACCCTGCAATGCGTTTTATTTACTTTGACCGAATTTGAAATAAAATGCTCCAATTTGCAACTATCGAACAATACATTCAAATAAGGGAGCATCACGGACCTGACCAATGGCACATCAGCGTTGAGACAATGAACCAATCACAACCACAAGAAAAGCACATTTCTGGCTCGAAGTAAATATCCTTTAATAGTTATTGTGTGATAATATACCAACATAGACGCCACATCTAGGATGACGTTACCTTAAAAATATACACCTCCAAGGAACACACGAGCAAACCGCGTGCGCAGTAGCAGAGATGGCTTGATGCAACACACCAAGACACGGTTACCGATAACGCAAGCCCGCTGTGCTCTTCAAAATACGCTCGTCAACAGTTAGAGAACGGTGTGGGAGGAGTATAATAACATTGTCTACTCAAATACTGTTGAGAGCATTTATCTGCAGCAATTATGGGTGCATAAGAATGGCGCTGTGTCAACAGTAGTCACGAATAAGAGGATTTTCGGCGAACGGCTTTGTAAATAGCACTCAGTAACATAGTAACAAGGTCACAGTAGTCAGCAACAGACAAAATGACTCCAGTTGATGAACTACTGCCTGGGAACAGAATAAGGAATTCATCTTCAGGGTGTACTTGCCCATTTTGGCAGACGACACACCCTTAAAATCTATGAAGCGTGATGTTATGGCGCTGGCCAAAACTCGTGAATAGCGGTTCCGCCCACCAATTCAAATTGTCGTCCTTGATTTGCGTTGGACTGACCGATGTTGATGAAGCGAAATTCACCACGGTTCTGTGAATCCTGCATATTCAATCTTGTGAGGACATTGATACAGGAACATTCTTTAAGAGTCAGCAATGATGGCAGGACAAATGAACACTGGAACTGGGTAAAGGGCATTTCACCGTAGATCTGATTTTGTTGAAGAGGTCGCAGTATTTAAACGTATTTCAACTAGCTACACATGTCAATACAAAAGACGGCGATCAAGAACGTGCACGCGCACATGAATACCGAATATTTTTACAAATTTCATAAAAATGTGGATATATTACAGAACCATTTTTGACGATACCCGAATTGTACCAAGTCATTTCTGTGTTTAAAGCAACTAACCTGCTGATCTTAAATGGTTGCATAACGGCCAATCCTCTCTTTCCCACATATTTATGAAATATCGTACTGATTTATGGACAAATCAAGAAACCTCAAAGCGAGCCTCTAATGCATCCCAAAGTGGATTTTACCAGAAAACGATAAACCCAACCACTGTTTTTTCCCAAATGTGCTAAAAACGGGAATGTCGTCTGCTTCTTTATTTCGGAAGGCATCCCAACATACCACTCCCAGTGAACAATCACACCTTGCGTGCTCGAAGTCGTGAACATTGCGAAACGACTCATGCCGCGTTGGTAGACGTTGAGCGGGATGAAACCTAAGTACCACAACTACTAACACGCTACTTCGAATTTGTAGGTAGATAATTCTTACCAACAACAGCCAAAATTACGGGTTGCTGGCTTGTGAATGGGGCGATAGAAAACACACGTGACCTGATTAAGTGCCAAAAAACTCCACGACTTTACGCCTCGAGAAAACTAGCGAAATACAGCGACGCTAAACCGGGGGCTAGTAGACAAAAAATCAATCGTGGGGAGGCGGATGAGGCAAGTTACTGGAGCCAAAATATCAACAGTGCGATGAAGACTAACCATGGCCCTCAAAAAAAGGCGAAACTATACGGTAAAGCTGATGTAAGATCACAAAAAGTCAGCTTTCTGCATTTATACAGTGTAGAGGGGGGATTAGGCGTGGAAAACAAAAATGGCAGACGAAATCACACGAGCTAAATTGGCAGATCAGGGTGCATACAGGTGCGTGTGATTCGTTAATGAGATCAAGGTGAAATCGCGGGAGAATCAGGGTTTCTAAGGATGGTTGATTTTTCCTGCCTTGTAGTTCCGGTCGATGAGCTCACTTTGGAGGAACATGTGAAGACACTTCTCGTTTTGCACAAGTGGGTGACCGGCAACTCTACAGTATAAGAAAAAAGGGAGAAAAGAACCATTATGGCGACGAGTAGAAGGTATTAGTATTAGTGGTTGGTATATAATTCTACCGTGGGTCACGAACAAATTAGTTTCGTTGCCAAAATGCCATAATGGAAACCAAAAGAGGTTACGAAGGCCGTTTTTTTAGAAAGGTTACGAGGGTAAACAAGTGGTGACCAATCAGTTTTAGTAGTCAAAACATGAAGGCACTCGATTTTACTAAGTGGCGCTATCCATTTGTAACCTAAGAAGGGTGAAACTTGTCGCACAATCAACCAAAAAAACAATAACAATAGCCATAACATAGGCCTTACGACAATATAGATATTACGGAAAGCCCACCCGGAGTTGCTACTAGTGCAGTAGTTTTGGTTGCGGCATTTTCATGCAAATGCAAAATCACAAGTGAAACGCAAACAAGAATCCCCAAGTCCGAAACTCACTTATTTATGAATTCTTCCAAGCCTTTACGCCGTGCCTCAATGAAGTCACTATCAAACAAACCATCATCAGCGCGGAAGGGAAATTGGCGTTTCCAAGCCTTCCCGGGTAGCTTAGGCACAATAATCTACAGAACGAAATTGTAGGTTTACAACCAGACGTGCAACGACAGATATAAAAGAAAACGGTTTGAATAAATCAGGGGGAAAGTACCAGCACCAGTACTCAGTTCCTTCATTTATCAAATATAAAATGATTTACTTGCCACTACTCTTGTCTAAAAGCTGATAACCCCTGAACAGTTTATCCAAATGACGTTTGTCTGGCTCATTCAAATTAAAAAGCTTTATGATTGCGGATGGCAAATTACCTTACTCTCGCGATCAAGTTCCCCACGCAACCAGTCGAAATCTCGGTATCGACGACGGACACTCGATTCTTGCAAACGGAAAACTGGGAGATTTGTCTAGCCATGTCACCGATATAGATGTAGTTACCTTAAGTTTTACTTCATAATCAACGTAGCGAGACTTTGCATCGCCATGAACTTGTGGATTGCAAACATCGATTTCTAAAAAGTTTGCGGGAGGCGAGTAGGCATCCTCTATGGTCTGCTGCTTAGTTTCGAGCCTCTGCGTCGCAGACGCCATACCTGATAACGAAAGTCTCACGAGGACGACTTTGACCTTGCTACCGACCCAAACAATTTCATGCGATTTAAATGTTCCAAAACTGAAAATTCAAGATATAAATGATTAATTTAATTGCTTAAGTTACCGATATTTTTTTAATTACAAATTTTTTGAAGGAACGTGGCTGTTTAAACAAGTGTTCGAGATTAGGCTTGATAATATTTAGATGCATCGTTTTTCACGTTGCACTACAAGTTTGTACGAACTTGTAACATTCAGTGGTGCTGGGTTTAACCGGACGCGTTAACGATTTTGGCTCATATGGTCTCAAATACTGTTTAACTTTAAATTTACGACTATTTTCTAACTTTTAAATGAACCATTAACCCAGATTTACAACACTAACCGTTTTAAGCTTGGCACAAAACAATTGGCCAATTTTACACAATAATATTTTATCTGTTCGTTTAATTTTGATTAATTTTAAATCATGCAATGCAACTGATACAAGAAAATGCCGACTTATTCTCATAATTGTAAATTGCCACTACTAAAAAACGGTTTTAATTCCTTTTTTTATAGTTTTCCACAGCAAACTGCGTGTTTTTTAGAATATAACAGCTTTTATTTCGCACATAGTGTTCCTAATTTCGAATCTTTGATGATTATTTTAGGTTTGGTGAATATCCACCTCAATGACCTCTTTTTCACGGCATCAATGTGCGTGTACCTCCCCAAAGCAACCTGCTTCATTCATCTGAGAGTTAAACCACTATACTTATAAAGGTTCACCCAGACTATAATGGTCACCATCCTTTGTGCTTTTAACATACCCAACTGGCTTAGTCTATCAAGCAAACTCTTGTCTCCACCACCTTTGGTCTTCATAGTCTTCTGGGGCATCTTTTTAACCCACTCAAGGGAATGCATTGTGGTCACACCGTAGTGATTTGAGACCACATGTGGCTGTGTTTAAGAACTCACAGATGGACAAAAAATGGGGACAAATACGAATTATAACAAATACAAACCTATTCTCCCTGATTTTAAATGATCAGGCCTATTTGAGTCAGTTAGTGGCACATACTAATTCATGCATTTTTGCGAGATTTACGTTAAGTAGTTTCTTGGAACATATTTGTGAATAAGATTAACGAGTTAATTCAGGTACTTCTTCCTCAGAGGTTGCTGGCTGCACTTTAAGCAGATTAAATCAATAACCTAAGAAATACTAATTGCAAATTTTTATATCCACAATACGTTCCAGACGTGAATGCTTGGTGGCCAATTATTTACGTTAATGATTTTGCGTTGCACATGTTTCCAGAGGTGAGACATTATTTCTGCATGCATTCAAAAAATGACCGAGGGCCCATGACAACGTGAAATAAGTAATTATATGGTAAATGTGTAATAGGATACTATATAATACACAATTTTGTTCAGATCTGGATTACGCTGGTTCTCAAACTGGAAGCGCTTAACGTGGAAATTGCTGAGGCAAATTTGTGTGCGTTTAGCCAAATTCATCAGCACAAAATTCTCACCTGGGCAAAAAAAAGAAATTTGACTGGCTCAAAAGGCAATAACCTATACAGCCTCAACCGTGGGACTGTTATTTGGCTCATGTCCTCTGATGCGTTGCGGCTATCCACTAAAAACGAAGGAATGAACAGGACCAACGTGTAAGTTAATATTGCAAGCAGGTTGCTCCAATCGAACAACTTTAAAGCAATTCTGCACAATCACATCCCTCGTGAAATCAGTGCTGCCTGAGCATACGTCACATCGTGAGTTAAGTTTAGCAGCAGAGGAAGTGGCATGATGAAAGGGTGAGCAAGCTTTGATCAAGACGTTGGATAATCTTGAAGTGTTAATTCCACCTTGATATGTGCCTACCTCGTCAGACTATCCATTCCATGCTCAATAAACCTCTTTATAGAACGCTGTTCAGAGGAAGGTAGAGATGCGTCTCTTCGACGATGCGGCGGCCAGATAAGACGCTGCAACTTCAACAATTGTAAGCTCTTAACAGTGTAGATATCGAGGACCTTTAACGGTTCATCACGTTGACCGGTCTCAGTTTCTTCTAAGGCAGGTGCCACAGGAAATTCAAAAAAATAGCAGCGACCAAGCAAATGATATTTCGAAGAGGCAGCCAACAGTGTGCGCGTTGGGGCAAACTTATTTTGATCAATTTACTTCCTATTTATAATAATCATCTGGATTCGAAAACGTGTGCACTTGCGATCGTCATGGAGACAAATGTTTTGCGATTCCACAAAAGTAATCCTTGTTTTATCGGGCTTATATTAAAAAAATTGATTGCGTCAATGTTAAATAAAGCATTTATTAACGGCTTTCAAGTACTCTACAGAACCACCTTGATCACTCCAGCTATGTACAGTAGGATCAGTTTTGATTTAATTAAATCCTGACATGATTCCTACCTGATTGTTGCACTTAAACCAAGGTCATTTTTGATTAATGCCATCGCAAAGCGGTCCAGTAGATTTTGACTAGTGCCAATTGGCTGCTGAATAAATTCATTTTCTCGAGCATTCCGAAGGCTAGCTAATTGTGCTGTGGGAATTTCTGTTAATTTATGTGTAATCGGATTTTATTATTTAGAATTCCTTTTGCCTTCCTACACACGGTTAATTGGACGCGATCCGAATGTTGGAGTGGAGATATTTTCTGCGATCGACTGGCACACGACTGGCAAGCGTTTCAGTAGCGGAAAAATGAAAGCCTACCACAGTCTTTTTTTGTAAAGCTGAAGTGGCTCTTCTGACTGCGTGAGTTGCTTCACCGCGTTTCTTAAGACATGGCTTTTGGCAATCAGTGCACTCACTCAAGATGAATTCAAGATGGTTCGCGTTAAAAATGCTTGTCAGCTCTGAATTCAATAATTTGATCACTACTTGCACACCATGACATTCTTTGTAATGATTTTTCTGAAAAGGTATTAAATAAAAACAATAGATAACCATGAACGTAATGTTGGAAATATTGTCAACTGTGTTCCATTACCCTGCGTTATCTCTCAGGTAGAGTAAGACACTTACAAGATCTGGGAAAATAGTCATTGACAAGTTTACGCACATTGTCCAGCGTTGTGAACTGTTTCCCAATTAAGGCGTGCTGTACTAACGGGAACAACTGGTATTTGGACAGGGACTAGTCTGGTGCATATGCCGCGTGTTGGATGACTTCCCGTGCCAAGTTCAAGAGGGTCTCCTGAGTCGCGCAAGCAACGTGAGGCGGTCGAGAGTTGTCATACAGCAGCAGCCGTATAACCTGCCTGCTTCTTTGTCCAGTAAATGGTCTTTTCTGATCACATTCCTTGCTCACTTTGTTCAATTGTCGGCTGTAGAGTTCCGATTCCGCATCTTCACCTTTCCGAGGCTGTCCGGGGAGCAGCTGGTCACCAAGGTTGAAATCACCACTTCTAAAACCTTTGTTTCAATGATTACATGAATCATAAAAGCATATTTATCTCATTTGACTGAGCCTTAAATCCAGTGGCGAATATACTGTTTATCATTTACCATCGAAAACTTTGCCATTAAGATAAGTGATGTAACTCACTCAGACTTGTCGTTCAGTGTTCTGAAATCAAGAGTCCGATCCTTACGAAAACACAAAAAGCAGCAAAAAACGTTTCTATTTAAAATAAAATTTTATAAAATCTGTAAAAATTAAGTTATGCACCTATTATTTTAACTACCAGGCATTTTATTTTGTCTAGATGTCTTGTCAAACAAAAAATATTTATGTTTTTTACTGACGCGTTGTGTTGAGCTTCTTTGTGTAAGTAGAACATTGTGCGTAAACTCATGAATCCATGTAAATTGAAGGGAACAGCATTACGTTTTTAGGCTTTGCCTAATTAATAAATTTCCATGTATGCTTGTTGGTTTGGGTTGTCGGATTTTCCTTCAGTTAATGCACCAATCTAATAACTACACCCCAAGACATCAAGCACTCCGCCTATCTTTAAAGTTGACGTGGCAATGAATGATTGTGTGTGATCGCACACTGTAACTCCAGGAGTGCTGTCGAGGTTGCTAGCAAAATTGTTTCTAGCAAATCGTCTTGGATATAGTAATCTGTTCCCAATTACTTCTTTTTGAATCATCACAAGTCACATACCCCAATTTCAAGTTAATATCTAAAACAAGAATATTTACAAGAAATATTTGAGGGAGATGCTTGTTCTATTTTATTGATTTTGTACTTATTAGTAGGTTAAAGTTAAGGAAATTGGTGTTAACATCCGACGCCCTTTGCGGCACTGTAAATGATCGAGGGCTGAGGAACTAGAAATAACGGCCATAAATTGGCGAGTTGGTAATTCACATTCCGTTCTGGAGTTAACGGATCTGGTGATTATTACCACGGCGTTTTGTAGAATGAATAAGGATTTTCCATGTCATAATTAATCACGGATAACGAATTTGGTTGAAACAAAGAGTCACCTGGACTTCATAAATGTTACGTCATCTTGATGGATGCTTGATTGTCACGTCTTGGCAGCATCGCCATAATTTAAAGCAATTATTGTTGCTTAGTGGTTGATGCGAATCGATCAGGTTAGCCCTCAAGACATAAAAGCGCATGATGCTCTTTCAGATTGACTCGATTGATTGAAGCAGATTCAGATGCATGCCTGGCTTATGGGAGGTAGTACCTGTGCACGATATTAAGATTCTACGAGGAAAAAATCCAGCTAGGTGGAACACGCCAAAGGCACCGGAGATGTAGGTAATGTTGGCTCTAGAATGTAATTGCGTTTTTGTGGAACGTTCCAGCTTGAATTCGTCAGCAGACGTCTCAGACCGGGGCACTTTGCTTACACCATGATTAAAGTTTCAATCTAACCAATCAAATGGCGTTGCATTGTGATTTAAAGTATTGGCGTTACTATAAAAAGGACTTAAAATATCACGGAATCGCTTAACGTGTCAATGCGCTGGATATATCAAGCAATGAGTATCTTCATCGTTTTAACGGTT